TGTTGTTAGCAACAAATAATTGTTTAATATAAACTCTTTTACCTCCAATTGAATATTACGTCTTATAAACACGGGTGGTGAGTGGCGCAGCCAAATGCAGCTTCACCAAAACCGGAACGATAAAAAAGCAAGGTATCTGTAAAATATAATGTTCTTAGTAACAAATAATTGTTTAATAACATATATTTTAACTAAAATTCACAATTATACTTGCTGGCACAACAAAGAATGGCGGGTATATTTGCGCGCATTGAAAATCAGCTGACTACTATGACAGCGTTCAAAGCTACCATTAGGCCATAAAAGCCTTCAAAGTAAAGCAAAGCAAACTAAAGTAAGCAAAGCAAGCAAAGCAAGCGTGCATTGGGCCAATACCTTCACTCTGGTACAAACCGCTTTATTGATGCTATGAACTTTGTTAACGCTCTTATATTCATCTTTTACTTAAAGCCGGGCCATACCAAAAGAGATGTTGTATATTTTCTTCTTGCAATGGTTCGAGGTGTCTGTGGGGGTTAGTTTATAAGCCAATTAGGCAGTGGTCTGTAAGAGTCCTTATAAGAAGGACATAACTTTTGCTTAAACCTAAGATCAAGTATGTACTCTTCCCGTTATAGGAAGGCCAGGTTGATCATAGATGTTTCACAGGACAGTGGTCTGGAAGTCAAAAAGATGTTTCTTGCACGACGGTCGATTTCTTCGGGCATCATTGAAAGTGCTGACACATATTTTGTTGTCGCTTATGATTGTCACTGTGCCGTGATTTTTTATATTTTAGTAAAGTGGTCAGAGCACCAAATTGGCAACAGTGAATGTAAACTAAAGTATTGTGTGACGTCAGCGAATGGGTGGATGCTGTCAAATCGATGAAGAGAGGGTTAGGAACTGCGTGCGTTTTTGGTGCTTTTTTTTTAGTCTAACGACACCAAATTTGTAAGTCTTAAACAATGGGAGCAAAATGCATAGCAATCGTAAGTTTTGTAAGCAACTTTACAAAATGGAAACAAAATCATGGCATAATGGCAATCATAAACGAGAGAGCATATGGTCGGTAATACTGCAAAACGTTCTATGTCACTTATTACCTCTGGTGCTTAGTTGATCTGTAGCTCGTTTTTGTAACTCTTCTCTTCCGATAATTTCTCTACCGGTAAAGAATATACGTCATTCTCTACTACTCATTAGCAGTAGAGAACAATGCGGCGAATTCATCTATGAACCATCTATGAAACCATCTAAGCGTCAAGGGTACTAACAGACATAGAACGTTTTGCAGTATCACCGACGATATGTTTGCCAACAAAATATGTGGCAGAACTTTCAATCATGCCAGAATTACATTCGGTACTTTGCCTGCTGGGACCAGATATCGACGTGAAGACCTTTTGTTTCGGCTGAATTTGTTAAATTTTCTACTACTATTCCAAAAAACAGCAGCATTCCTAATAAAAAAATTCCTTTTACCAAAAGAATAATCGAAATCGGGTGAGATTTGAAGAGTACCTAGGCAGCTTTTTTGGCACAAAAATATTAGTGAAATAAAAGTTCGTTATGCTTCCGGTGTCAAGCGGTACTTTATTTCACGAGATTATAAAAGACTGCAGTATATTTAAACTACCACATAGTTCATGAAACTATGGCTGAATTTCTTTATTCATTCTGAACGTTTGGAATAAACTTTTTTGTTTACTTATTCTTTAGAACGTTCCTGATGATATGTTAACGTATATTTCAAACGTATTCTGTTTACTCCGGCTGTGAAATGGGATTATCCGGAATGTATAAAGAAACGCAGCCTATATTTTTTATATTTTGCCTTTCGTTAGATAGGAATTGTAGAAAAAATTAAGCAAAACGAAAAAATATAACATTTAAGCTGTCTGGAAAAAATGTATAAATTTTTCATAAATCTAAGTTAAACGGCAACGTTGGACATAGCTGTAAATTAGAAAATTAGGGTATGTGCCAATCGGTAGCTTTTTTCTCTTTTCTTGGACGAAACAAATTTAATTTATAGAAAACAGAATAAATTCGACCGTTGAGCAAGAAACATTTATTTTTATTAATTTGAATCGGCATATCTACAATAAAATGTTTTATCATACAAAGTCCAATAAATACTCCAATAAAAATTTGGTGCTTTTTTCGAGAAAAGAGGAAAGTTAGTCCTTTTATTAAAACAAGAAAAAGGAAATACTCACCTTTCCAAAGAACAAACCTAATGAGTAATAAAATTATAGTTAAAAAAAAATAAAATTATAGTTATTTTTTAAAGGCATCCCATTGGAAACATACATCACCCCATTGGTAGAGGGCTTTGAGTGTACGAATTGTTACGCAAGCCTATTGGGTCGATAGTCATTGTCAACCATTATCGCGCCACAAATATACATATGTTGGTACCACAAGCCTGTGTCTCAACATGTTGCGCAGCATGTGTGGAAAGGAGCATTTCTAGTAAAGTCTAGATGTGTGTCTGTGCATCTGTGTGTTAACGCATGAGTGTGAAAGTAGTGAAAGTGGCCACACTTTTTAAACCTATCAGACAGGCGAAGGTGCGTAACTTTGCTAAGCCTGCCGCTCGATAAGGCAGTTGTGAGAATGAGTGTGTGAGTGTGAGATACTTTCGAAGAAGACCTTTCGGTTATGCAGAAATTGCGTTTTGTGCCTGTCCGTCCGCTATATAAGACCCCGATGAAACGCAACGGCACAGGTTCGGAGTTGCAGTAATAAGGGGTAAAGAAGATGAGCAGCATCCATCTACCAATTATCGGCCCTGGTACCCATGAAATGTGGAATCCACACAAGTATGCTGGCAATGTAAATCCGCAAACACTCAAGCATGAGCGCTTATGTGCTTATGCCCATGTGTACATGTATATATGTTTGTTCATATGTGTGTATGCATGTACACGAATGAGCGCTAGCGCTTAAGTGGCAAAAGTGACTAAAAGGTTATTTTCATTACAGGTCGCCAGTAAAAATTATACAAAGGGTCGCCCCCGGGTTTGGGGCAAAGGCGTATCTATAAGTACACGCGATTGAGCACTTCACACAAGGTGCCACACCTTGAACCAGCGTTTACATTAAACGCCTGCGAGGAATATCATCAACATCAGGAAAATCAGCAACACCACGAATATCACTAACACCAGAAACATCAGTAGCTCAGCAACATCCACAGGATCAGCTGTCGCCAGTACATATGTATGAAAGTGAGCCAGAAGTAGATCAACGTTCGGTATACACAAGCTGGACAAGTACAGTAGTTGCTCATACATGTGTACATAGGTACATAAACGAACTGAGGAATACTCCAGTGAGAGGGATTTCAGCGTTGGAAGCAAAGAAGACAACTGAGTGGAAAGCGCTGTCATTAACGAGGGAGAACACCGGAAAAGGGCAGTAAAAAGAAGCGACGACTAGAGCAGCGAGCGAGACTCGACGTCAACGGCTAGACGCCGCCGCCTAAAGCCAGTGCCGTCAGCACATACATGCAGCGGGGAGGTTGTACCCACGTGCTTCTTTTGATGTATTGTGATTTCCTTAGTATAGTTGTATATACAGGGTGTCCCAGAAGTAACCTGCCAAACTTGAGGAGAAGGCAGGTGGGGTGGTGAGCTCTCTGATAAGCAAACATTTTTCAGGTAAAAGTGTCACCGTTTTTGAAATATTTAAATTTTTTTGAATTAAAGAAAAATCGTGCATTTTTGTGTATTTTCTTTAACTGCATCTACAAACAAGCCTATACTTAGTAAATTTTTTATGTAAAATACTTCCAGATAGTTGCTTCTCCATACTGAAATACAATGTAGTTAAAATACATTAAGGAACCATTATAAAATAAGGACCATATTGCGATTTTTAACTTTTTGATATTTTCTTCCCCAGCTTTGACTATCTCTGGTGAAAAAAGATGTACTGAGCTATAACTTTACATTGCATAAAAAAATTGCTCATTTAATAAAGATTTCAGGAAGGTGCCACTCCTACTATTTCGAATAGGAAACAAAAAAATATAGCCGCTTTTGTGGGTATAGGACTGAGACACGCTAGAATGTATTAAATAGATTTAAATTTAAGTTGGTCTTGTTACCGACCAATGACATGCTAAATAGTACAAAGGTACACTATTACTTGCTCCTGACATTATTTTGTGTTACTTACCGGAAATAATAAAAGTGGATTTTGTGAAATTGGACCCTTCGAACATTGTGTTATTAATACTATGACAGAGAACACGCAGTATACGTCGCCTGAATATGCGGATATTCACCTAATTTACGGTGAAGCTTGCTGTAATGCCAGAGCTGCTCAAAGACTCTATGCAGAGCGATACCCAAATCGTCGGCATCCGGATCGTGAAGTATTCCCCCGCACCCATAGAGAAATTTCTGAAGGTAAGTAATTTTTACACCTCTCTTGTTTGAAGCCATTCTTCTTTTAACTATCATTTTTTAACTTTTTTAAGGTCGCATACCTGGAAGGCGTGGCGGCGAGACAGGACGTCCTGCAACGGTAGATGTTAAAGTTGTGTTAGAGGAAGTGGAACTAGGTCCATCGACTTCAGTGAGAATGATGGAAAGACGGACTGGAATACCAAAAACTACAGTTCACAAAGCTTTAAAATACCATCCCTACCACATTCAACGTGTTCAGACTCTACAAGAAAGATATTACCTGTCGAGGGTTAGATTTTGCAGTGAAATGTTGCGAATGCATGATTCAGACCCCAACTTTTTAAATAAAATAATTTGGAGCGATGAGTCATCATGCAAACGTGACGGTTATTTTAATTTACATAACCTTAACAGTTGGCAGATAGACAATCCTCACGAATGAGATAAGATCGTTCGCAGTACCAGCACAAAATAAATTTATGGTGCGGTATTTTTAATTGTCAGATATTGGGACCTGTGGAACTGCAGCCAACGCTCAACTCCCACAGTTATTTAAAGTTCCTTCAGGAACG